TGATTTTGTTCACATTTTTTTTGTGCAAATTCTATTTCTTTTTCTAAAATAAAAGTAGCCTAAGCTACTCCCTATAACGTCAGGTATCTGCCAGTGAAAGTCCCGTCAAAATCGGTCCAGCCGTTTAGTAGATTAGTCGGAACAAACAGATTTTTTTTAAAAAAATTGTGTTTTTCTTATAAGTACCGTTATATACTTTCATATGTATTCAGTAAAAAGCTGTTATTTTGACATTACAAACAGACACTTCAATTTTATCTTTCTGTATAGATATCGTATACGGTCAGCACCACCTTTTGACTCTTTTTTTTATAAATAACAAATCAAATTCAAAATATATTTTATTCAAATAGACATTTACAAGCACTTTTGAATCGTCATTTTTACATTTTCAAATTTAAATTAAATGTAAGTATGTAAGTCCGTGGAAAATCTCAACAGTCACATGTCACTCTATGTCATAATTCATCTTTGTACTAAATGTCATTAAAAGCCATCTTATTGCAGCTTGAAAGACTAACAAACACACAGACAGACATATATAATAATAATAGCATGATGTTCTATTACGATAGCGTTCCCAGGCGGTGGTCCAACAGTGTACACCCGGCGTCGAACCCGCGACCCGGAGCCGCGGGACAGCCACGCGGGGCTCGTGCAGCTGCTGCCGGTCCTCGTGCTGGTCCTGCTCTCCATGATGTCGGGCTTCTTCATCAGCGAGCCCATATACAGTCTAAGCCCCACACCCAAGTATCCCGTTCCAAGGGAGACGGTGAATCTGAAGGTATGTGGGTTTGGGTGTTTGGGACCAGTTGGTTTTGGGGATGGAGGAAATATAATTTTTAGGATTCCATACCTCAAGAGGAGGAAGCCTTATATGAACACTTCGTTGTCTGTCCGTCTTTCTGTCAAGAATCTGTTTCTCAGAAACCCGTGGAGGTATCAAGTTAAAATGCATACAAAATACTCTAAATGAGTCTGGGATTCATTGGGCCTGTGCAAAAATCAAACTTCTAAGTCAACACAATCAAAAGATAAGGCCGTTTATGTTGCATATTGTGCACCTTGTCGTGGTGGTCAGTAGTGCCCGGCAATACAGCCGGGCGCGAAGCCAAGAAACGCACAGGGAGATGGCCCACTTCGGTGGGCGGTGGGAGGTGGCCCTCTTCGGAGGGTGGTGTACCATGCGGGTTGCTCCTGGTACTTCTCTGATAGCAGAGTGGATTTTGGAGCAACCCCGTGGTCGTGGTGGTCTACTTCGGCAGACCTGCCGTCGGGGCCGAGTAGTTGAATGCGTAAGCGATCCTGCGACGCCCCATTAAGACGGGGGAAGGTTTTGTTGGGTTTTAGTGGGTAGTACTGGCTTTGCCGGTGAGTCCCACACCTCGTGCGTAAATGCATTTCCCAACGTTAAAAAAAAAAAAAAAAAAAAAAAACAAAAAAAAGGATCATGAAATTTTCCAAGGAGCAATGTCTTATTTCACAAGTAAAGGGGAAAATTCGAAAACCGTAAATTTGTAGTTACGTAATAGAAAAAAAAGTTTGCAATTATAATCTTATTTTTTGTTACTACAATCTTAATGTTCATGCTACGGAACCCTAGGTGTGTGTGACAGACTCGCACTTGTCTGAATTTTTTTTAAATAGTAGCTTCTGCCCAAAAATTGCCGGTAAAGTAACTGAACGGCCACGTTTATTTTATTTAAGTTATTAATTATTATGATTTGTGACAGTAAATATATTTCTGACATAATAAAAAATAGTCATGGGTGTTTATATTTATAACTAGCGATTCATTTAGGACTTGATTCCGTTTACAAACTTTCATCCCCATTCTCACTCCCTTAAGGGATGATTTCCGAGATAAAAACTATTTCACTCACTCACTTTTCATATCATGAGATTTAAAAAAAAAGTTATTTTAGTAAAAAAAAATGTTTTAATTTTTTTCTATACAAAAGTCCCTGACAATAACAAACACAAAAAAAAGAATTATCCAATTTGGTGCAGTCGATCGGAAGTTATGCGCGTACATACATTTTGGTGATTCATTTTTTTATTTATATAGATATGTATGTATTTAAAGTTATATATGTGTAGTGTATCAACTATCTGGTATCTTTTGCTTAAGCAATTTGTAGCGACAGCCGGAAAAATCGCTGATCGCTCTGTTATATCATACTCTGACGTCACATATGGTCTGACCAATGGCGTTGTATTTCAACCACTTTGAATTTCCCATCTATATTTGCAATTTTGAAAAATTATCTTCTTAATCAAAAATCAGCGTGGAAACATACAAAGTAGTGAATCAAGGTATTCTAAAATATCATTAAAAAATATCGCGTTGGGGAAAACTACAATAATAAACACCCAAATTATATCTCCTATGTAATTTGGGTGATTATATTTGGTCAAAAATATTCAACATACAACTTGGACTGTACGTTTTTTTTTATATGTATATATTTTACAGGTACCATATTATGTGAAGGAAAATTTCCACACAGACTATCAAGGCTCTTTGCGAAGACTTGAAATGGCCATCGAAGAAGAATTTATAGGTGAGATATTTAATATTATAGTATGTATATAACTGTCAACTCACCTTTGCTTCGATCTGGCTCGTTCCTAGGTACGTTTTAACGGTTAGTATGGTATAGATAGAATATATACTATATGATATATGGCCTATAGCCTTCCTCTATAAACGGGCTATCTAATGCAAAAAGAATTTTTCAAATCGGATTAGTAGTTCTTGAGATTAGAGCATTCAAACAAACAAACTCTGTCTCTTTATTATATTAGTATTAGATAATAATATTTTTCGATATTTCAGTGGGCCTCCGACACGCGTGTCAAAGGGAACGCAACTACAGGGACAGTGTTGCGTGGAAAGCCCGCAATTTCGGGGAATCCCGCCATCACGCAGACGCCCAGCGCCTGCGCATGCCTTCCTGTGAAAAACTGCAACAATTCCAACGATAATACACAAACACACATACACATATACATATATAGACACACTAAGCAATTATATGTTCATAAGCAATCCCTTTATCCTGATTAGTTCACATCCTTTGATTATTGCATTATTATTGACACAAACATACATACATATATACACATATATAAGATTTGTTAGTACAACAATATAATTGCAATAATAACAACACTATTTCAAATTATAAAATGTCAACAATTTATTTCAATATCAATGCTAGCAACACCGCAAGGAAATAATAATTTTCATTATAGCTAGATAATAGCAACACCGATGCCAATATATATAAAATAAATTCATTATAATGTTAGCTAAATTTCATAACAGTTTTATTTTTAAAAAGTTTTAAAATTACAAGAATAAAATAAATTACTACAGTATTTGCAATAAAATGAGAATATATATATATATATATATATATATATATATATATATATATATATATATATATGTTAATGGTAATGTTTTTTTCAATTCAATGAAAAATGTGTTTATAATTTTTTTTATTTTTTTTCAAAATTGTTTTTTTTTTAATTAATGGAGAACTATTTTATTATACAACGAAAATGAAATTCATTTAGATAATAGATTTTGTTGTGTTTTAATACTTAGTGCTCGCGAATTTTTTTTTAATCTCTCGTGTTTTTCTTAGATATTTCGTGTAAATTATGGATTATATTAATATGATTACTTTTAAAAAAATGAATATATACAACAAATTATACAATTATAAAAATATATAAAAAACCTTTTTTCGGCTTCAATTATGGCATTTATCGATTAATTGTATCGATTTCTTTTACATACAACATCGATTTTTAAATGGCGCGAGCAAATTGCAAATTCTGTAATATTTAAAAATATGCACTGTTATTAGTAATAATTATTGTTAATGTCACTTGTATTTACTTCTATATGCTATTATGGAATTTGTTTTAATCGAATATTTCGTTTTTAATCGATTAATCGGATTTTTTGTTTCGTATTCGATAAATCGATTATTATACTATGTATATTTTTTATTAAACATCATAAACTAAACCGATTTTGATGAAATTGATTGTGAATTGATTTGTGGGCCGTGGAAAATATTGCTAGATAAATAATAAATAGTATGAATGCAAATTTTAAAAAATAAGACGAAATCCCTTTAAAACGTCCCAATTTATTGTTTATTGCAACACTAAAACACATTCCCTATTTGACAAACGCTTTAGATGTCCACATCTGGCAATAATTCTATTTTTCTTTTAATATATTATATGGACCAACTTCAAAAACTAGCTGTTACTTGCGACATTTTATTTCTTATTTTGTTTGTAACTTCGTCGATTTAAATGAGAATAATATGGTGATATATCAATATAAGTGGCGATTTGATTTCCTTAGTGGCCATTTTGGGAACTAATCACAGCGGTTTACAGTATTGGTTAAAAGTATCAATTTTATTTACTACACTAGCGACTCGCCCTTGCTTCGCTTTGGCTCGTCCTAGGTTCTTTTTGACGGTTAGTGTGTGTATGATATGATGAGTTGTTGTGGGTTGTATTATAACGTGTTTTCCCGTGGGAATGAGATAATCTCCCGCGGTAAAAAGTAGCCTATATCACTCTCCAGCCCTCCAACTATCTCCACACAAAAAATCATGCTAATCGGTCACTCCGTTCTGACTTGCAAGAAGGACAAACAAACAAACACACTTTCAGATTTATAATATTAGTAAGGATTAGCGGCTCACCCTCGCGGTAAGTTCCTAGTAAAAAACAAAAAAAAAACCTATCCCACGGGAACTGTACATTTTTCCGGGATAAAAAGTAACCTATGTGCTATTCCAGAATATAATCTATATCTGTGCCAAATTTCATCCAGATCCGTTCAGCCGTTCTGGCGTGATTGAGTAACAAACTTCTATCCAAACTTTCGCATTTATAATATTGATATGGGATAATAATATATTTATTAGAAACTATTTAGATATGTTATTAATTTAAATTTATGGTATGTATGGAATATGTCTAAACGATTCAAACGAGCCCAAACTCGAAGGCTTTACCAGTAGCCATTGAAGAGTTCCACTGTCCACCTCCTGGCTCCACATCATCAGGTCAGAGAGTTGGAGTATGATTGTTTGTTTTTACTGGATTTCATATGCATTTTCAAATTTATAGTAACAAAGCTAAAATTGACTCTTTAGTTTTCATTGTTATTTTAGAATTATAGATTTAAAATGGAGTGTCGAACAGCTAGTTGGTTGTTTTTTTTTTAATCTTTTTAGTCTCCCATTAGTGTTTAGTCTGATTTAGTCATATTATATAGTTTCGGTGGAAGTGTCGCGGTATAGATGGCGGTGTTATTATTTAAATAAAGTTAATTTATTCCCAATTTTATTGTTTTTTTTTTTATTTATAAACCTTTATAATAATGTGTAATATATATATATATATTAAATTAACTGTAGAAAACTAGCTTTTATAGGTTTTAAATGAATTAAATGGGATTAAAATATACAGGCCAAAAGGGCCATTCCTTAACTACGTAACATTTTTGGCTATTTTTGACCCCATTTTGGGGTTGGAACCCTCATGTATTCTTTTTATTTATTTCTTCTCTCCCCTCTCCACCTTACGTAAGATTTTTTCCTGTTTTAAAACAACTGCACTAAAACTCATAATTCGACGTAATCAAATTTTTATATTTGATATTGTACAATAAAAACGCGGTGGAAGCCCAGTGGTAACGTGCTCGCTTGGAGAACCGAGTGAAGCGGGTTCAAATCCCGGGTCTCGCACATGAAAATATTAAAGGTGCGAGATATACCTACGTCATTCGGTTTCCCAAGCTAGCGCGTTACCACTGGGCTACCACCGCCATATTTTTTTATAGGACTTACAAATTATACCATAAATTATTCAAGTTATATTTTCCATACATAGTTCTTAAGTTTAAACAACACTTTGTGAGCAAAATCTCTATTTTTTTTTAAACTTGCTAAACAAAAAAAAATAACTTAAATGAGAACCTTCTTCTTTTTTAAATTCAAATCATTTTTTTTGTTAATGGCTTCAAAGCGTGTCAGTTGAGCACATTACTTCGCCATTGTCACGTAGATTGCGAGTGTTTTTTTTTTTAAATTAGTATAAATCTGTTATTTTATCAATACAAACGGACACTTCAATTTTATTTATATGTATATATTAAAAAATATGGGGATTATCAAGTCTTTAAGAAAATAAAACAAAGCATATTAGATATTAAATAATAATATATTAAAATAATATAAAATATCGCGTACATTCTCGTATATTAGCTTCTTTAGACAAATTATAAAAAATATAATATTATAATCATACATGATTCGTATAAAAAAACTCATTAGAAAATAACAAAATTAAATTTAAAAAATTAAAATCCCCCGACCATCTTGGACCGATTTTCATCAAACATAGCTAAAAACACTCCCAACTAATTCACCTTTCAAACAAAAAAAATATTATCAAAATCGGTTCATCCGTTCGGTAGCTATGATACCACAGACATACACACAGACAAATCAAACATATAACCCGTCGTTTTTGCGTCGGGGGTTAGAAAAATTGTAATATAAATAAATATTTCGTTGATAAAAATTCAAATACACATATTATTTAAAATGTCAAAAAATCTTTATATGGCTCGAAAGCACAAACGATACACTATACTCGTGTAGTTCCATACAAAGACGATACTTTTTCTTTTATTAAATAAACAATAGATGGCGTTGATAACGAAACCCATTTTATATTTTAGTTTTAGAAATAAATTTGTGATTTTTATCGTAGCAAAATAATTCATAACACATATATACATGTTATGAATTATTTTGCTATATATATATATATATATATATATATATATATTATGAATTATTTTGCTATATATATATATATGTCCATATCCATCCATCCAGTCCATAGCCATCTATGAATTCAATAAACAGTGTAAATTCATTGAACACAAACAGTGAAATCGACGAAAAACTATACATATAATAAAATTGTAACTAAGCCGAATCTGTACATTAAATATTTTTTGGAAAATCTTGTTGAAATAAACATTATTATCGATACAGAGTTACCGCATCACAGAAATACCCTCGGAGGGATTATGATGAAATTTGGTATCATAATAGCTGTTTATCCGGGTCAACATATAGAATACTTTTTACCGCGGGAAAATATCTCATTTCTGAGAAAAAATACAAAAACTGCATTGTAAGAGTATACTAATATGTAAAACCTAAGAATTTGGTTTTTGATCATCTGAACGCGGGCGGAGCCGCGGGCAACGATAGTTTTAAAAATAAATTGGTGATTTTTATCGTTTTTAACTGTAGAAAAATAATTCATAAGATATATAGCGCCATCTATGAATTGAATAAGCGGTGTAAATTCATTACGAAAAGGCTAAGTTTATAACAATAAATGAAATCGACGAAAATCTATACATAAATTTAATTTAAGACCGAATTATTTCATTTCCCTTAACCGAGAGTATTTTTTAAAATCAAAATATCTATTTGGGAATAAATATTATATTAATATAATATTAAATTATAACAAATCCATACACATAACGCCATCTATCGATATATAATTGAACTAGATCTTTATATCTCACGACACCCCATGAAAGTAACAGCTGTGACCGAAAACGGTCAGACTCAATCAGAAAAGACATTATCCACCATTTGACCGTAATTTAACCGTCATGACCGTAAACGGTCAGGATACCACATCGTGACCGTAAACGGTAAAATCGATATATAACCCCAAAAATCATCTATCCGTCTGTCAATGTATTTTTATCCTGTGTATATGAGCATCCGGCGGTGGCAGAAGACCGTGAACTCTTTGCAAATGTCTGGCAACATTCCGTCTGCGGGCAAAGCTGTTATCACAAATTTTACATTTGAACGTGTAGGGCGAAGGCCTGTGACGGTTTTTGTGTATCCTCATGAGGGTCACCGATTTGAATCTGGCTGGGCATTGGTCGCACTGGAAAAAAAGGTCTGTGTTTTAGACTAAACTAAATTCCTAGATCTGTTCTGGATTATTTTTCTTAGATTATAGTTGTATTTTTTTTTAATCTGCGGCTGTATTGAACTGAAAATTAATTAATGACAATTTTATTTTTTTACTAGCGACTCACCCTTGCTTCGCTCGGGTTCGTCCCTAGCTTGCTTCCCCATACAAACTTTCATCCCCATTTTCACCCCCTAATATTATATATTACATTATAATTGAATTGAAAATGTGCCTTGATAACAGTTGTTTTGCGAATTATAGAAATATCTTTAAATTCCTGATAAAAACAGAGTATTCTATACTATACTAATATTATAAAGAGGCAGAGTTTGTTTATTTGTTTGTTTGTTTGTTTGAACGCGCTAATCTCAGCAACTACCAATCCGATTTGAAGAATTCTTTTTGATTTAGATATCCCATTTATTGAGGAAGGCTATAGGCCATATATCATCATGCCACTACCCAGGGGAGTCTACCTATTAAATACTAACAGTTAAAACGTACTTAGAACCCGAGTGAGGCGAGGGTGAGCCGTTAGTCTATACTAATATTATAAAGAGGTAAAGTTTGTGAGTTTGTGACGTTGAAGGGGTAATCTCTGGATCTACCGAACCGATTTAGATGAAATTTGGTGAGAAGATACTTTGAGACCCTCGGAAGGACATAGGATACCTCTTATCCCGGAATACATACCTTGAGGGCGTGAAAATGGGGATGAAAGTTTGTACTGGGAAGCAAGCTAGGAAGGAACCCGAGCGAACCCGCGAGTTCTGCTAGTTTATTTTATTAGTATGGGTCCCCATATATTCACCTGTACGGTTTTCTCTGGCAAATGTATGGCGACGTGTTGTAAGTAGCTGCTCTTCCTGTGGAAGCCGGCGTTGCATTCCTTACAGACGAAGGGCTTCTCACCGGTGTGGAGTCTCTCGTGTATCTGAAATTGGTCACTATTTGTTTATTGAACAATCGCTAGATAGAAAAAAATAATTATTATTTGAATAATAAACGAAAGTTTTGATGACGCTTGGCTCAGTTTGTTGTGACCCTACTTGCTGTGCCAGCGGTCGCGGGTTCGAGTCCCGCTGGGGGCATTCATTTGTGCGATGAGCACGAATGCCTGTACTCCAGTCGTGGGTGTTTATATTTATAATATGTATGTATTTAAATGTGTAGTGTATCAACTGGTATCCATACCACAAGCCTCGTAGCTTACCATGGAACTAGATGGCGCTGTGTGTTAATGTACCAACATATTATTTATTTATTTAAAGTAAAAAAAAATAAAAAAAAAACCATCTTTTATTTATATACTTTAAAAAAAAACAAAGAAGTATAACCTTTTACATACATACATAAGTAGATACACACTTTTTTTTATAATTATAATTTAGTGTTCATGTAGGTACTTACTTTAACTTGTTCTGCATTAGACGCTTTATAATCACAATATGAGCATTTATCTGTCTTTTCATATCCATGTTTGGCTCTACAGTGCATCAGCAGCAGTCTTCGAGTGATGAACTTTTTACCACAGTGCTGGAAAATTAAAACTCATTACCCATACTACTAATATTGTAAATATGAATGTGTGTTTGTTCTTCTTTCACGTCGAAACAGAGTGAAATTGGCGTGAGTTTTTGTGTCGAGATAGTTGGCAGGCTGGAGAGTGACATAGGCTTTTTTTGTACCGCGAGAGATTATCTCATTCCCACGGGAAAACATGTTATAATACAACTTTTTTTTTTTTAACGTTGGGAAATGCATTTACGCACGAGGTGTGGGACTCACCGGCTAGAGAAGCCAGTACTACCCACTAAAACCCAACAAAACCTTCCTCCGTCTTAAACGGGCGTCGCAGGCTCGCTTACGCATTCAACTACGACGATGTTATATTACAACCTACAACAACTCATTCTACCTATGTATGTTCATATATATAAGTCTATGTATTCCATACTAACCATTATAACGTACCTAGGAACGAACCCAAGTGAAGCAAAGGCGAGAAAATATAAATGCTAAAAGTTCGAAATTTTTGCAGATAGGTTCCTCACGGAAGTACGTGTCCAGTTTGATTGGATTTTTGTGAATTCGATTATTTTAATTACTTACTTAATGGTTTACCCTCGCTTCACTTGGGTTCGCCTCTAGAAAAACAAAATTATCCCACGGAAACCATACAATTTTCCGGGATAAAAAGTAGCCTATGTGCTATTCCAGACTATAATTTATCTCTGTGCCAAATTAAGTTCAGCCATTCTGCCATCATTGAGTAACAAACATCCAAACACCTTAACTTCCACATTTACAATATTAGTAAAAAAATTTTTAAATTATAAATATTAGAAACATTTATACCATGAATGTTATGTTCAACTAAAATAGTAACTAAACCTTAACTTGTACTAACCTCACAAACAACATCAAAACCTGTATGTATTTTATAATGGTTCCTCAGAGACAATTTCGATGTCAATATTTTATGACAATACTCGCACTCTATTCTTTCTTTTATAATTTCCTTCTTATCTGTCGTCTTTCCTCGTACTGTTTTTACACATTTTCTTCTTCTTTTACCAATAAGTAATAAATCTATAGGTTTTTCCTTAATTTCAGTTTGTTTAGTTTCAAAAGTTAATTCAGTTTTTGGTATGTTCTCATTTTTACTAATCATATTATGATTATTACTTTGTAATGTATCTAATGTTATATTGTCATCAAAATCTTTAAAATCGTCCTCTAAAGAATCACTTATATCTATAGCTGTAGAATCTTCTTCTAATTTTAAGTCAAAATATTCAATTTTGATACCGTTTACTCGATTTTCCATTAATTTTATTTGAGATTCTTCACATTTTTTTCTAAATTTGATTGATTTGTTTATAAAACTTATGCATGTTGAACATAATTCTTGTGGTAAAGTATCATTCATTTCTACCTATATCAAATAAAAGAATAAAAGTTAAATAAAACATACCTTTTAAAAGTTTCAACACAATATATTTTTAAGAAATTCAAAAATTAACTTAATTTGAATTCATTCAATAAATATTCTGCAGTGAAATTTGTGAATATTATTTAAATAAAAAGCTCACAACATTAACTATAAAATCTTTTTTGTTTATTAAAATGTAAATAAGTTTAAATATATACTGGATCATATTAATTCATGTAATAATATTTGGTAATACAATTTAATATCAAATTTAAATCTGTACATAATAGAATATTTAAAAACAACGATACCTTTACGCCTGCAATAAGAAAAACAGTACTAGAATACTTTTCACTGTACTCTGGTAGTAAGAACATTGGATGTAAATTTTCTTCACTCAAACAAGTTCTACAACAGTTTAATGAATTCATTTTGATATAAAATTACGTTTGAAATAATTAAATATATATTTGAACTTATTTATTGTAAACAAACATAATTTGTTGTTTTTGTTTTCAAAACTTAACAAACTGACATTTGACAGCTATTAATTCAGATAAAGACAGATAAGATAATACATATTCTTAGGACAGATTAAAAAAATCAGCGAATCGTTTGGCAGCATGACTGGCAAGCCGATTTTAATAAAAATAATTGTTTTAAAAATATATATTTATAATAAATATGTTAATTTCTGTATGAAACATAAAATTAGTTTTCTATAAAAAATATATACAACTGATTTGTCAGGTGTGGGGTTCGAACCCACGCTCCCTTTCGGGAACCAGAGCTTAAATCTGGCGCCTTAGACCACTCGGCCAACCTGACGTCAATATAATGGTAAAAAAGTCATTCAGTTATTAAAATATACTTATTAGATTTCACACGCGACTTCACTCACACAGTTTGCAGACAAAAAAAGCATTTAATACTCAGGATAGTGTAGTTTTCTTGACATTTTTATTACATACTAGCGACTCACCCTCTCTTCGCTAGGGTTCGTCCCTAACTTGATTCTCCATACAAACTTTCATTCCCATTTTCATCCCCTTAAGGGATGATTTCCGGATCAAATTTCATCTAAATCGGTTCAGTAGATCCAGAGATTACCCCCTACAACGTCACAAACTCACAATCTCACAAACTTTCCCTCTTTATAATATTAGTACCTATAGATTGTCTTAAAGAATCGAATTTTTTAATCGTATATTATCTACAAAGTTGTATCATTTCATGCATTAATTTTGTGTGACGTGATTTTGTTTAAATTTACTAGAAAATATTCCTTATTCAGAGTCCCACGGGCCTTTCACCCCAAGTTTGAAATGCACACTGTAAATTAGTATTATAATTCGAAGTTATCAGATTTTTTTTTATATAGGACCATTCTTGATATTTAAAACCCATTAATATTGATAAATAGTTGTTTTTAATATTGTTCTTTACAGGTGTCCATAACTAAATATGGTAAAGCACTATTCATTTCTATCTGAAATAATAAGTCAAATAACTCTAAAAGAAAACATAGATTTTTTTTAGTTCATTAGAAAAGGCCCAAATTTTTATTTAAAAATAGCGACTTATCGGTGCGTTAAGTTGCCTATTAGTGATGATGTTCTCCTAGCCGATTCCGGCCACGGCGGCCAATCTCAATGAGATTAGCCAACTGCGCAGGAGATATTATAGTGCACAAGTGTACGCGCAGACACAACGTGCACTCTCTATTCCTATCACTCTCATACTCCGGTGGGACGACCACTCGACACGACCGGTGAGAGTTAAGGCGCAGGACCGACGGCTTTACGTGCTCTCCGAGGCACGGGGGTGAAACACCGCCAACTTCCCAACTCCGGGCTGTTACTGAGACTTACTATACAGGAAGACTCAATAACTAAACTTGGCCCGACCCGGGACTCGAACCCAGGAGCCACTACACCACCGAGGCCTTTGCCTAACAGTAGCGTATATACAACTATGGTCATAGGTTATCTTTTTATAAAGTTTCATCCAAATCCAGCCGTTTCAAGGTGAAGGCGACAAACATACACACATACAAGTTTCGCATAACTTGATTCCCCATACAAAATTTTATCCCCAGTTTCACCCCCTTAAGGGATGACTTCCGGAATAAAAAATATCCGTCCTTCCCAGGGTTTCAAACTATCTTCTAACCAAATTTCATCTAAAGCTGTCCAGTAATTTTTGAGTTTATCAGCCACAAACGTACAAAAATACAAATCTTTCCTGTTTATAATAGTAGTGTAGATGTGATGTCAAGATAATGAGGTTTCAAAAGCAAAATTTTAAGTCTATTTTATACCAGTCCATTCATCAATACACAAAAACTTTCCAAAACCAAAATTAAAACCCACAGATAAAATAAAAAACTAAATAATTAAAATTTCAATATTATTTAATTGTATACGTTAAAATACATTTCCAAACGAGATATCATCCTCCATCATTCTTTAAATATTATATTATCAGGACATTAACAATAATAATACTTTTTTTTAATACTTTCAAACTAGATTTTTCCCGCGGTTTCACTTAGGTCTGTTAAAATAGTAACAGTAACATATTGCTCTATAATCAGGTGACCAAAGACCATCGGGATTCTCTGTAAAAATCGATTAAGTTGCTTCTAACTGTCCAAATTGAAGGAGATATTCCTCCTCTTTAAAGTCGGTCAAAATTTCACTTCTTTTAACGTCCCACTGCTGAGTGTGGGCCTCTATTCATGCAAGGACGCTCAGGATATAGTCCACCACGCTGGACAATAGCAAATTATAATCATATTAAACATCATTCGAATATAAAATCTCAAAAGTGCTAAACCCAGATCTCGAACCCGTATCACTTAGTTTCCAAAGCAAATACGCTTTCATTTAAACTTAAAATGAGATAATTTTAAAATAGAAACATAATTCTTATTTACAACGACTGATTCTACTGATTTGTTTTTTTTTGTCACAATATTTGTTGTTTTTCTTGCATCATCTGCATGACTTTCGCAAATCGAGCTGTTGTTTTTCTTGCAAACTTGTAAACTCTGCTGTCAATTTTCTTGTTAACAACTTTTAAACTTGCCAATTGAGCACAATTATCTTCTCCAATACAACTATGAGATCTCAGCCACCGTTAGCACAGGACAATCTGCCGGTGCATTTAAATATGAAATTCTGAAATATAAAAAAAATATATTAGATTCTTTTAATGCTCTCACATATTATAATATCTGACGAAAACAACTAAATGTTTAAGAATGAAAGATAACCTATATCACTTTCAGGCCTACATATATATGTATACTCTCTATGGAAAGAATCAATATGTTCAGATTCTGAGTAAAAGGAAAACAAACGAACAAACTGACAAAAAAAAGAAGTGTAGTACATAATATCAAATATGTTATATTTGATATTATGTACTATTATAATATTTTTGAATATAATATTTTTGATGTACTTTTTACTATAATGTTTGTTCTATATTTTAATAAGTAAGCAACACCGCATCAATTAATTGAGAGATAACATTATTTTAATAAATATATTAAAATAAGGCAAAGACTTGTACTTGTCTGACTTATAACATAAAAATGTCTTAAATAATAATTTAAAAACATAAAATCCAGTCAAACACTAGTGCTTTGAAAAAGACGTTTAGTTAAAAAATCATAAAAAAAATGTATTATCTATACTAATATTATAAAGAGGTAAAGTTTGTGAGTTTGTGACGTTGTAGGGGGTAATTTTTGGATCTACTCAACTGATTTAGATGAAATTTGGTAAGAAGATAGTTTAAGACCCTGGGAAGGACATAGGATACTTTTTATCCCGGAAATTATCCCTTGAGGGGGTGAAAATGGGGATGAAAGTTTGTATGGGGAATTAACCTATATAATAAAATCAACATATATAATATATTAAAACGTCAACAACTAGTATCTTCACCTTAATTTATCCTCCGCAGAAACCACAAAGGTCCGATCGTGATGAGTGTTATATATCAACTAATTATTGTAAAATATAATAATAATTCGGATAATCATTTCATTATAAAATTGATAAATCATAATATTCATATCATATAAATAAAAAATAAAAGGCTGCCAATTAATAAAATAACAAAATAAACATTACAAGAAAAACAACAGAACACGAAAATTGTTGTACGCCCGACACAAAAACTGTTGTTTTTCTTGCAAGTATTGACTTGCAAGGTTTTCAAGAAAAACAACAGATCTAAAGTTGCACCCTCACGATCGGACCCTGCTGGTCGTCCGGAACGCCGTGAACCCGTCGAGTGTGTGCGCGCACTTTATTGGGCTTTTCGAACCTGTGCTCGCAGATGGAGCACAGGTAGCCGTATCGCTTGCCTGTGTGTGCGTTGTGCTTGTGAATTTGTAGGAACTTGCGGGATTTTAGCCGTTTCGGACACATGTCGCACTAGATGGAGAAATATTATATAATGTAAGTGGTAATACATCTATACTAATATTATAAAGAGGTAAAGTTTGTGCGTTTGTGACGTTGTAGGGGGTAATCTCTGGATCTGCTGAACCGATTAAAATGAAATTTGTTAAGAAGATAGTTTGAGACCCTGGGAAGGACATAGGATACTTTTTATCTCGGAAATCATCTCTTAAGGGGGTGAAAATGAGGATGAAAGTTTGTGTGTGGAATCAAGCGGGACGAACCCGAGCGAAGCGAGGGTGAGTCGCTAGTATTATATAATTTACTAATATATTTACTAATATACTAATAATCGCATCCCTCTGATAAATCTGTAGGTACGTACATATAGCATTGGTACAGTTTAATAGGTCTTTTTAAGAGGAATAATTCTGTAGTACATTGTTTTTTCATATAACTCTATTAGTTTCCGCGGCGTACGCCAGTAAAGCTCCCAGTCGCGTCAGCATAATTTTATCCGACATTTTCAACAATCATCGTCATATTTCAGCCAATTTAAACATAACCTTATGAATTATACACATAAATATGTCGACGCGTCTCCCTCTTACCGGGCGCGTGACGTACGAGCTGCGCGGGCGGGGCACCCTCCCCGACCGAGCGCATCTGATCGCGCCACTTCGCCTACCTACGCGCTGGACCGTTACGGCCTACACACCTTCCTCATAAATCACTCCATCTATTGATGAAAACAGTATAAAAATTCGTTCGGTTGTTTTGTTTACCGCGTTCATATTGACAGACGAGTCGGGGGATTTTGTGTTATGTTATGCAATGATAAAACTTACAGTTTTTTTTTCTGACATTATTATATTTTTAATGAAATCTGTAAATATATTAATGAATACTATACTCGCTTTACAGTTCTTTTTCATAGAAAAATGGTAAGTATTTATCGCCGCTCATTTTTAAGATTGTGTATTGGTCGACGAAATGTTAAACCACACAAACACCTCACCTCACTTCGCCAAAAAATTGACCTCACCTCACCACACACTCAACTGACCTCACCACACACTCACCTCACCTCACCACACACTCACCACAAACTCACCTCATCTCACCACACACTCACTTCACCGTCACTAAACACTCACCTGAAAGTTTTTCTCGGGCAGATGTATAGCGATGTGCTGCACGAGGTTGGAGCGGCGGTGGAAGGTGGCGCCACAGTGGTCGCACACGTACGGCCGCTCGCCCGTGTGCCGTCGCTCGTGTATCTATTATTTTTATTTTATTCATTGAAAAGAGCTTATTTCAAATCTCTATTGTTCATGCCTTTTCGGTTGACAAAATTAAAACGCACGTTGTTTCGTTTGACAAAGTACTTTGTGTAGTGTAAATTCGAATTTGTGTTTAGACAATTGGAATTTTGGATTTTTTTAATTTTTGAAAAAATAGTTGTTAGAAAATGTGTTTTTGTTTTTAGATATCAATGTTTTGAGATAATAATATATAAATTAACAAATATATACCTATGTGAAGTTAGAAACTGACTAAACAATAATTAGTTTTTATCAATTCTATTCGATTGTACTACGTTTGTACCGGATTGTACCGCTTTTTAAATCGTTTGTACCTCAAAGGGGTGAGCAATATGGGGGTTCGAATATATATATGGTTCACAGCCAACCTAAAAATATGACGTTTTTGTTGATGCCAATTGGAAGCATATCGTTTGTACTGGATTGTACCGCCCTTAAAATCGTTTGTACCTCAAAGGGGTGAGAAATATAGGGGTGCAAAAATATGTATGGTTCACAGCCAACCTAAAAATACGACATTTTTGTTGATGCCAATTGGAAGCATAACGTTTGTACTGGATTGTACCGCTCTTAAAATCGTTTGTACCTCTAAGGGGTGAGAAATATAGGGGTGCCAAAATATGTATCGTTCACAGCCAATCTAAAAATACGACATGTTTGTTGATGCCAACTGGAAGTATATCGTTTGTAAAGGATTATACGATTATTAGAACTGAAAAAGTATACATAAATAAAAAAATATCATGTTTATAAATATATGTACATAATTTTTTTTTCCTACAAAAAATCTCTGCGGTATAAACGGGTACAAACGATGACAAGCCGAGAACTTATTGTAACGTTCAATTAGCGTATGTATAATGATAATAGAAACGAAATTCTCGGGGGTACAAACGGGTACAAACGGTGAGAAGCTGAGAACTTATCGTAAAAATCAATTAGCACGTGTATAATGATGATACAAACTAAATTCTCCACGGTACAAACGGGTAAAAACGAAGAGAAGCCGAGAACTTACTGTAACATTCAATTAGCGTATGTATAATGATGATACAAACCAAATTCTCGTCGGTACAAACGGTGAGAAGCCGAGAACTTATTGTAAAATTCAATTATCGCATGTATAATAATGAAAGAAACGAAATTCTCGGCGGTACAAACGGGTACAAACGATGAGAAGCTGAGAACTTATCGTAAAAATCAATTAGCACGTGTATTATGATGATACAAACCAAATTCTCCACGGTACAAACGGGTATAAACGAAGAGAAGCCGAGAACTTATTGTAACATTCAATGAGCGTATGTATAATGATAATAGAAACGAAATTCTCGGGGGTACAAACGGGTACAAACGATGAGAAGCCGAGAACTTATTGTAATATTCAATTAGCGTATGAATAATGATAATAAAAACAAAATTCTCGGGGGTACAAACGATGAGAAGCTGAGAACTTATTGTAACATTCAATTAGCGTATGTATAATGATGATACAAACCAAATTCTCGTCGGTACAAAAGGTGAGAAGCCGAGAACTTATTGTAAAATTCAATTATCGCATGTATAATAATGAAAGAAACGAAATTCTCGGCGGTACAAACGGGTACAAACGATGAGAAGCTGAGAACTTATCGTAAAAATCAATTAGCACGTGTATTATGATGATACAAACCAAATTCTCCACGGTACAAACGGGTACAAACGAAAAGAAGCCGAGAACTTATTGTAACATTCAATGAGCGTATGTATAATGATAATAGAAACGAAATTCTCGGGGGTACAAACGGGTACAAACGATGAGAAGCCGAGAACTTATTGTAATATTCAATTAGCGTATGAATAATGATAATAGAAACGAAATTCTCGCCGGTACAAACGGGTACAAACGAAGAGAAGCTGAGAACTTATCGTAAAAATCAATTAGCACGTGTATACTGATGATACAAACCAAATTCTCCACGGTACAAACGGGTACAAACGATGAGAAGCCGAGAACTTATTGTAATATTCAATTAGCGTATGAATAATGATAATAGAAACGAAATTCTCGGGGGTACAAACGATGAGAAGCCGAGAACTTATTGTAACATTCAATTAGCGTATGAATAATGATAATAAAAACGAAATTCTCGGGGGTACAAACGATGAGAAGCTGAGAACTTATCGTAAAAATCAATTAGCACGTGTATAATGATGATACAAAACAAATTCTCCACGGTACAAACGGGTACAAACGATGAGAAGCCGAGAACTTATTGTAATATTCAATTAGCGTATGAATAATGATAATAGAAACGAAATTCTCGGGGGTACAAACGATGAGAAGCCGAGAACTTATTGTAAAATTCAATTATCGCATGTATAATAATGAAAGAAACGAAATTCTCGGCGGTACAAATGGGTACAAACGATGAGAAGCTGAGAACTTATCGTAAAAATCAATTAGCACGTGTATACTGATGATACAAACCAAATTCTCCACGGTACAAACGGGTACAAACGACGAGAAGCCGAGAACTTATTGTAATATTCAATTAGCGTATGAATAATGATAATAGAAACGAAATTCTCGGGGGTACAAACGATGAGAAGCCGAGAACTTATTGTAACATTCAATGAGCGTATGTATAATGATAATAGAAACGAAATTCTCGGGGGTACAAACGGGTACAAACGATGAGAAGCCGAGAACTTATTGTAATATTCAATTAGCGTATGAATAATGATAATAAAAACAAAATTCTCGGGGGTACAAACGATGAGAAGCTGAGAACTTATTGTAACATTCAATTAGCGTATGTATAATGATGATACAAACCAAATTCTCGTCGGTACAAACGGTGAGAAGCCGAGAACTTATTGTAAAATTCAATTATCGCATGTATAATAATGAAAGAAACGAAATTCTCGGCGGTACAAACGGGTACAAACGATGAGAAGCTGAGAACTTATCGTAAAAATCAATTAGCACGTGTATTATGATGATACAAACCAAATTCTCCACGGTACAAACGGGTATAAACGAAGAGAAGCCGAGAACTTATTGTAACATTCAATGAGCGTATGTATAATGATAATAGAAACGAAATTCTCGGGGGTACAAACGATGAGAAGCCGAGAACTTATTGTAATATCAATTAGAATAAGATAATAGAAACGAAATTCTCGCCGGTACAAACGGGTACAAACGAAGAGAAGCTGAGAACTTATCGTAAAAATCAATTAGCACGTGTATACTGATGATACAAACCAAATTCTCCACGGTACAAACGGGTACAAACGATGAGAAGCCGAGAACTTATTGTAATATTCAATTAGCGTATGAATAATGATAATAGAAACGAAATTCTCGGGGGTACAAACGATGAGAAGCCGAGAACTTATTGTAATATTCAATTAGCGTATGAATAATGATAATAAAAAAAAAACGAAATTCTCGGGGGTACAAACGATGAGAAGCTGAGAACTTATCGTAAAAATCAATTAGCACGTGTATAATGATGATACAAACGAAATTCTCCACGGTACAAACGGGTACAAACGATGAGAAGCGAGAACTTATAATATTCAATTAGCGTATGAATATGATAATAGAAACGAAATTCTCGGGGGTACAAACGAGAACTTATTGTAAAATTCAATTATTATATAATATAAACGGGGGTACAAAAGGGTACAAAACGTGTATGATACAAACCAAATTCCACGGTACAACGGGTACAAACGACGAGAAGCCGAGAACTTATTGTAATTCAATTAGCGTATAAATAATGATAATAGAAACGAAATTCTCGGGGGTACAAACGATGAGAAGCCGAGAACTTATTGTAACATTCAATTAGCGTATGAATAATGATAATAAAAACGAAATTCTCGGGGGTACAAACGGTGAGAAGCCGAGAACTTATTGTAAAATTCATTATATATAATAATGAAGAAACGAAATTCTCGCGTACAAACGGGTACAAACGATGAGAAGCTGAGAACTTATCGTAAAATCAATTAGCACGTGTATTATGATGATACAAACCAAATTCTCCACGGTACAAACGGGTACAAACGAAAAGAAGCCGAGAACTTATTGTAACATTCAATGAGCGTATGTATAATGATAATAGAAACGAAATTCTCGGGGTACAAACGGGTACAAACGATGAGAAGCCGAGAACTTATTGTAATATTCAATTAGCGTATGAATAATGATAATAAAAACGAAATTCTCGGGGGTACAAACGATGAGAAGCCGAGAACTTATTGTAAAATTCAATTATCGCATGTATAATAATGAAAGAAACGAAATTCTCGGCGGTACAAACGGGTACAAACGATGAGAAGCTGAGAACTTATCGTAAAAATCAATTAGCACGTGTATTATGATGATACAAACCAAATTCTCCACGGTACAAACGGGTACAAACGAAAAGAAGCCGAGAACTTATTGTAACATTCAATGAGCGTATGTATAATGATAATAGAAACGAAATTCTCGGGGGTACAAACGGGTACAAACGATGAGAAGCTGAGAACTTATTGTAATATTCAATTAGCGTATGAATAATGATAATAGAAACGAAATTCTCGGCGGTACAAACGGGTACAAACGAAGAGAAGCTGAGAACTTATCGTAAAAATTAATTAACACGTGTATTATGATGATACAAACCAAATTCTCCACGGTACAAACGGGTACAAACGAAGAGAAGCCGAGAACATATTGTAACATTCAATTAGCGTATGTATAATGATGATACAAACCAAATTCTCGTCGGTACAAACGGTGAGAAGCCGAGAACTTATTGTAAAATTCAATTATGGCATGTATAATAATGAAAGAAACGAAATTCTCGGCGGTACAAACGGGTACAAACGATGAGAAGCTGAGAACTTATCGTAAAAATTAAATAGCACGTGTATTATGATGATACAAACCAAATTCTCCACGGTACAAACGGGTA